ATAATGACAGGTTGGAGGTTGAGCATCGGCGAAGGATGTCTAAAAAGGGCTAATGGTCCTTGAGGTGACAGGCCAACCTGACGAGCCACGTCCCGATACATATCTATCCTAAACCAACAGGATTCGAACCCCGAGAGTCTTAACCACCTCCTTTAACAGTCGCCCTTTTGTTTAATATTTGGCATGCGTTCTTCGGTCAAGAATGAATTTTATTTCACAGACGTCGATAAAACTTCTCGGCGCCTTTCGCGTCACCTTAGCGAATTCGACTCGAGCTTCATACAATTCGGACATTTTTCTCCCAATTCGAGGAGGCATTTAGAGAAGTAACAACCAAGACGAGACCTAGCATTCTGAGAGATCGTTCCGAAAATCGGAGTCTGGGGGTCTTCCTGTCATCGGGCCCGTCGAGGATAAATCGAGAAGGCCCCCTCTCGAGTTTTTCATTTCTCACTTTTGAGTCGCGCCTTTTGATTTCCTCGAGAAGAGGAGTCAGCCGAATCTCCGGAATGCCCGGAGAGGGCCCGTCGGTTGAGGCCCCGAATGAGTTGCAAAAAGTTCCGGGTCCGTCGAGGGACGGTCCTCCGGGTGTTAAAAGGGCCCGATTCGAGCCCGACGCGGAGCTGGCCGCCATTGTGGTCGCGGGCCCTCTTTATGATTTTTCACTCGCCATTGCTCGGGCCCTCTTCCCCTCCGCCCCCACCGCCAATCGTAATACGAGTTTTATGTTAATGTTTTAATCCCGCGACGGGGATTGAAACGTCTCCGGGAGGCAAAGGGCCCAATGGGCCCAAAGGGGCCTGACGACGAGAAGAAGAGTTCGACTCCTCGCGAGCCTCCTCGATAATGCCACCTCGTCGCTTCGGGGCCTTTCCTTTGCCGGAGATTAATGGTCGGATTAATTAGGCCCTGTACTGTCGAGGGTGGGCCCCAAGTGCGACGACTCCTCGGAGTGGGACGAAAAATGTCGGGACACGGGGTGGGAGGAAATTCAACGGCGGAATTGGCAAAAAGACGGAGACTATGGCATTTGGCGACTTTCCGACTTTCAACGGTTCTCTCGCGTCGATAAAAAAAAATCCTAATCTACGCGCCTAGTAACCTAAAAATATTCCCCGATATGAGTCAATTGTCTCCTCGTCCCGTGACTCCGGTTCCGGGAGGCGGCTCTCCTCGGGGATCGGTCGGGGAGACATCGGGACGTCCCGCGGGGATCCGGACGCCGGTTGATCCCCGGAATCGGGCGAAATCCTCGTAGAGCTCGTCGATGGTGATCCGACCTCCGTGGGGCTGGCAGGACGCGATATGAGTAATGGTGCGTGCCGCCTTCTAGGGGTGGATGTGGCGAGTCATGCCCCGATCCCGAGCCGACGCCAACCCCCGGCGGCAGCTGCCCCCGAAACCAACCCCCACGGGGGGGAAGCCGAGCCCAGCTAACATGGCGGAACATGCCCGGTTCTAAATATTGATTCTCCCCCGGGACGACGACGACCGACGCCGACCGAATTATTCTCCTTTCGCGGTTTTTTTCTGCAGCTCTCGGGACTTTGCAGCTTTGCGTCTCATTGATTACGTAAGGACATGTATGTGGTGGTTATGCCTAGTTTGACTGTTTTTCCAGACACCCGATTTTTTATGTTTCGCGCCATAAAAAAATAAATAAATAAATATATATATGTATGTCGTTTTAGATTCTTCACTTTGTCTAATTTCTCTTTGTGGAGGCGGCGCGTCCACCGAGCGAAGGGAATAAGTTCCGCTCAAAATTGGGGCCCCACTTCTCGAAAATTGGTTCCGCTCGTTGTTACGCATCGGGGCGGTCGGATATTATTTTTCCCCTCTCTCCTCCATTCTCGTATCGAATCGAAACGGAAATTAATTCGGCGTAGCGTGTGTCGAGTGTCTTCCGTTGATCGACCAATGAGGAGACCCTCTTCGCGGCCACTTCCGGCTTGCTCGCAGCCCACCGGAAAGGTCCTTCCAAGTCTTCTCGAAATGACAATGTGGATAATTTTTAATCGCCCTCGTGTACTTATACGAAACATGAGAATTACGTTATCAGGGTCCACTTCCAATTAGGATTTAATACGCGAGCTATCGATAATCGAAGAAATGGATATTTTTAGGATCCTTATTGACGAGGGGGTGCTTCTTGTCGATCGGATCCAGCATGGACGATGGATCAGGGATTTGTCGGTCGAAGGATTGCAACTAAGTGGAAGGATTACCCGGGGATTACGAAATGCTGTCGCCTGCAAATCTGGCTTTGCTTCTCGATTCGAGTGATTCGAGGATTAAATATTGAAAAGTTAGACCAGTAGAAAGTGGGCCCGGGTGTGAACGAACCGGATAGGAAGTGATCGTGAAACGAGCTCGGCCAGTTTTGGAATATTACTCTTTAATCACGCGGTACCGATTCGGCACCGCTTCCAAATCATCTCGAGCGATTCGACACACCTCGATCGAATCGAGACAATGTTATGGTAATTTATTCCTCGAGCACAAACTTTTACACGGTGCATCGTGTAATCCGTCATGCTCCATCGAATGACTACAAGGCTCGTATATTTGCCCCGGAGTGTTTTCGACAATCTCCATTTCTTTCTTTTTTTATTCGCGCCCCAAGTACGAAAGGAAGTGGAGGGCGAAATCATCGATAATCATTTTGCATCGATAACCTTTTCTTATTAACACATTGTAGAGTCCTCACGAGTGACCGACACGTGTTCTCACATTTCATCCACACCGTTAAGAATGTTAATAAATTTCATAAATTTCGAGTACACAAAGTCGCCCCAAAATTGCCGATTTCATGTGATGATTTCATGTGACGTCATTGGCGATAAATATCTACTGTATCGAAATTCCGAGAGATTCTTCTGGGTTTCCATTAATTTCCCAAGAACTGAAAGAACCGAAATCGATCCCCGGAAAATCTGAGATTCCGGCAAATCGGTATTTCTCGCCACTCGGGGGTGAGACGACCGCTCCAGTTTCCGGCGGGGTCTCTTATCGAGGGCGCATTGCGACAGATCTGGTATCGATACGATCGGCCCCGATCCCATTGGTGGGCCTGTCGCCGCGGTGCATTATGCCTCGGCCCGTGTAATAATATATAATGTATATAAGTAAGGCCGTACAAAGCGGCAGGAGCGGGCCGAGCGCGGGTCTCATTACGGCATTATCAGGCCGACCGATCGACCCGGGGCCCGGCGGAGATATATCCTTTGATTAATGGATCATTGGACTTGTCCGAAAGGTACGACCCGATCGATTCCTCCGCCCCGGCCCCGCGGCGGCGCTCCTTCTCGCTTTCCTTATTTTCATTCCGCCTCGACCCCTCACCCCGCCGGCGAAAGAAACCGAAAAGAAACGAAAAGGCCGAGAAATCGGGGCAAAATCCCGCTCGCGACGTCGCATGCCTTTCCTAAGGCCCGAGGAAAAATCGCGTCGACGGCTCAAGGCCTCTCGTAACGAGCCGATTGCTTGTCGCGGATTGAACCCTATCAAAGGAAGGGAAAACGAACTCGAAGACTACTTTTGTCCGCGCCGCGGAAAAATTCGGCTTTGTAAACGTCCGGTTTTTGCCCCTCCGACAGTTCCGCTCGTTTCTGGGACAGCTGCGAGGTTAAGCGACGCTTGGCGCGGTCCGGTCTTGGATGGGTGACCGCGTGGATATATTTCTTTCCCATTTTTTTTTTTTTTTTTTCTTAGGGGAAGAAGATTACGAATGAATATTACGATGATTCGGAGATTACCGTGAAATATTCCCGGGCAATAATTTCGGTATTCCCGCATTTTTGTTCCCCGTGGGCCAGTCTGGGGGTATAATTAATCCACCCCTCTCGGTCGCTCACGTTTTCGTCCTATCGACTCTCTTTCTTCCCTGGGCTCACGTATGGCATGGAGTAATTAAATGCAGAGGGAGGCGGTCGAAGGCACGAAGGGTCGACCAGGGAAGGGGAGAAGGCGTTCCTGGAGCCACTCCCTAACCTGGAACACCTGGGAACTTAACCTGCACGGAACACGACGTCGACGATCGCAGGTTGCCTATAATCGAGCACGTCGGAGTTCCCGCTCTTGTGCCGTTACTTATCATTATCATTAGTGCCGCCATCTTGGAGAACGAATACGGTTTGACCCAAATTTTCGCCCCATTGTGGGCACGCACGACCCCTGTGCTAATCCTGCCTACCCCTGGATAAGGAAATCACTCTGATAGCACGAAGGTGTCATGAACTCCTGAATTGAGCATTCGCTCAAATTGACTGAATCGTTAACCCTCAAGACGATACGAAAGTGGCGTCTGAGTGGTGTCGCTTATGAAACTTTTATCCAAACCGAACATACCGAATTACTTGAAATATTAGCCCCCCAGTTATGCCGAATCGATATCGCGTCACAATTTTTTCCCCCATGAACCAAATGGTACTAAACCAATGTCAAGCCATCGTGATTACTTTTTCCCCACGAACTTTTTAGCCCCATTCCCCCAGAGTCTATGGTAATGAGACATCGCGAAAGACTCGGCCCGAGGTGCAGAACGGTCCGAGCAGGATGTTCGACTTTGTCCGGACAAATTGCCGGTTTAATTCGACACGCCGACAGGTAACTCACGTCTAGAGTGCCCGGGGCTCTAAGTACGCGATTACTGGAGCGTGTCAGCGAGTTCCATCGGCTTTTTAAATGGCGTCAATGCACTCGCGTATGTTTTAGAGCCGGTCCCGGTTTTCCATTCCGCGGCATAAAACGCGGCTTTTCTTCTCGCTCCCTTAACGCCTAATCAGTAAGTACTTAATCAGGTGCGCCGATATCAAAGGCAGATAATTTGGCACATAATGACGTTATTTCGACCAGCCGGTAATGCACTTTAATTAATTTCTGCAGACGGCCGAAGAGATGGCAACTTTTATAATAATCGATCTGGTCGAATGCGAAAATGCCGTCGATAAGGAGAATCAATTGTTTATGGTGTTTTATCATTTTCTTTATAAACTCACCTGTTTCCAGATCGATGGTGTAGGTCAATCCTGCCCAGGGATCTTCTTCTTTGTCGGGGTCTTTGGCCTCCTGCAATCAAGGCCTCATTGATGAAGACAAAAAATGAAAAAAAGGACTGATTAGCGAGTGAGAACTTTCATGGGTGTAAGAGATCGTCCATGGGAGTCGGAAACAAATTGAATAAAAATGGTACCTCGCAACTTTCCTTCCCGTGTCTAATTCATATTTATGTATCTTAGCTCACTTAGTTTTTTGTCATTTATTTATTAGCACACATACCGGCTTATTATGTTTGCATGGTTAATACAATTCTTTCACGGGTTCACGTCGAGGAATATTGTGATGTCATAGGGCAAAGAATCTGTCCCTGTCAACAAGGGGACAATACATAAGATCCAATATGGCGGCGGCTTTAATTGTTCAGGCCCGATTAGGGAATATTTTGTCCCTGGACGTTGACATCTTGACAATGGTGGTAACTAGGACTGCGACGACAGGTAGAGGGTGGAACATGCTAGAGGAAATTAGGATGAAAGGATGCTGTCGACGTAACGATTCCATTGTTGCTGGCCTACACATCTCGAGGTTGCTGGACCGCAGCATCCGCTCTGGGTGTTGATCTTTCCTAGGAAAGTCATTAACCACCGACGACCATGGTCATCTTGGTCTCGGTCAAAAAGTGCACTTTTACCGCTAACAACTTGCCGTAAGACCAAAACCGATTTTCTTCCTCAGGATCCGTCATGATAAAAATTTGGGAAAAGGTACGAGAGATCGAGACGAGTTCCTGCGTCATTCTTTGAATTTTCGTAACCAATGAAGGTACACGAAATGCTTAAAAAAAAAAAAAGAAGTGTCATGACATCGATCTCTCGTGACTCCTCTTTGAGGTGAATTCACTAAAATTCTCGCTGACTCAAATTAATCGAGAACGTTTCGACAAATAACTCGAACCGACTCCGAGACGTCATAATCGAGGGGCCCCTTTCGAGATGGAATATCGAGAATAATCGAATCCGGGGGGTGTAGGGATGCTATGAGTACCAACATAAATGGCGGCGCACACGCGTTACCCTGAAACAAGTTTAATGAAAACAGCATTGTGCCAGGATCATTAATCATAGTCGGGGCTACGATAGTGGCCGTCCAACAACCAATGGGCCCTTCGTCTCCCTCTCTCTCGGTCTCGTTGCCCTCGCCTATTCCGCGTCTCTGTTCCCCTCCTTTGTCATGTATCCCCGCAGAATGTTGAATCGTTCCGCAGAGAAGGATCAAGGGGGTTGGTTATGAATACAAAAATTCAAGCTTTCCCTTCGACGAGGCGAACGCCAAGCTCTCCGCTCGGAAAAGGGAGACATTTCGGAAACCTCGCGCCGCCATTGTAATTTTTTTTTTCCCCCTTAAAAAATCATGCCTTTCAAAGCGCGAAGATCCTGCTTCCTCCCCGTGAAAAGCTCTAATCAATTCGATTTCTTTTTTTCTTCCACGGCGAACAACCGGAGGTCGGATTTTCAAAGATCGACCTTTTACGCGTCCGACGCAGACGTAGTTTCTTTTTCACCATTGTTGCGCGGATGCGCGCAACAATGGAGGTCCTGTCACCGACAGGGACCTGCATTGCAGGCATAGCTCTCAATTAAGGTTTCGTGTCGTCACGATGGTCGGTAACGGGCCAATCGAGAATTCGAGTCGTGACTCGAGTCCTTGTAAATACGAAATCAATGTCCCACGGTGGACGTCAACGGCCTCGCAAAATGGCGGCCGCGTCGCCGGGCTTAACTCTCATTTGCCCGCCTCTTGTTACGAACTTCCACGCCAGAAATAGAAACGCGTTAGTCCGATCTGCTCCGACACTATTCATTGCGATTAACTCGCGAGTATAATAATATATACCCCAACATATACCCCTTGCATACCCAACCCTCATCCCTGCGACAGAGTTCCTCCTCCGCCGCCATCTTGGAGAGCCTCCTTCCCTAAAATTCCAAATTCCTATTTAAATTCCCCGGTCTCCTTAATGATCCCGCTGTCTTAAAACCTCCCCCTAGAAACCTCTAAACACCTAATCGGGTCTCTTTCCCGGCGCCGCCATCTTGGCGGGTAAACCGTCCCGGAAATAATCGAGGGCCGCCCCGTTCCCCATTCCGGGGCGCGTTTTCAATTTCCAGGACCATTAATACGACCCTTCGATTCTCCCGCGGTCGTGCTCCAATCTCTCTCTCTCCTCTGTCCTTCTCGCACCATCCCCGAGGCATAGCGCCCTCTCTCTCTTCGCCCCCACCGCCGCATCCCCCACCAGCGACGGGTCGACCAATCGTTGTCGCTTCCCAGGCACTCGATCCATCGAGTCTCGAAACTGGGGATGCTGTACATCTATCATCCCCCTCTCCACCCCTCCCGGATCGCGTTCCCAAATGCATCCGAGTAAAACCATGGGGTGGAGGGGGGCCACCCCGTGGCGCCATCTCGATGGCTTTAGGAATACATTTCGAGCCCGGTTTTCCCCGGTTCGTTGTTTTCAGCCTGCCCTCGATCGAGGGGGAGGCTCCCCTCCCACCCGACGTGCCCGAGTCTCTCGCCATTTCTCTTCGTAAGAAGCCCCCGCTCTAATGGAGCCCGTCGCGGTGGCGTGCACGCATCATTTAGAACCGGTCGCGGAATTATAATGGAGCTGCCGCGCGGTCTCGATTTCACGTAGAAAGCGCGGTCTCCTGGATTATCGAAATGCAGGGACTTTCCGCGGGGGAAATTACCCGGAAATTAACTCGCAAAGAAATCATTTCGGCGGATGCACTTATGCGTCCACGGCGCCTCAAAGGGCTAAATGGCAATTGGAATTTCTCTTTCGGCGCGTGGATGCGATAATGGACCTCCGTTCCCCGGAGTCGTCCTCGAAGCCTTCGAACTCGTCCGGCACCAGGTCGGGACCGCTTTGCTTTCCCGCGTAACCGGACGAGCCTTGGCGTCGAGGCGGCGGCGCGCCCGGACAAAGGAGGAGACTCGATGGAACAATGCCGAGCCGGAGCGAGAGAGACGGCGCGAGGCGCGCTCCCGCGCGTAGGAGAGAGACGCGACGAGAGCGCCCGACCCGGCGGACAGCCTGACGGACGTCCCGCCCAGAACGTCGCTGCACCGTCATCCTCAGGGACCGTCTTATGGGCGACCCTGGTCCGGATTCTTGCGGATATTTAGATCCTCCTCGCGTCCACGATATTCCGGGACGGTGGCCGTACCTCCCACTGACCTCCACGGATATCCACCCTTCTTCTTATTTCATTGCGTTTCTTTATCATTTCATTTGTCGCGCTCGAAGGGACTCGAAATTGCCTTAAGGTGATACGAAAGTGGCATCCGAGGGTGATCCTTTATATCTTTGCCCAAGCTCGGCGTACCGAATCGTCAGAAATTTCAACGCGTCAAAAGTTTCATTAACGAAACCTACCCTCTGACGTCACTTTCACACCCCCTTAGGAAATAGTACAATTTAAAACGGGATTTTACGTATCGAGATAGTTAGGGTAGAAGGAAATGTCCCTTTTTATTTATTCCTCCCTTTGACTCGAATTTTTTTATCCGGGCGGAGAAACGGAGCGGAGATTCTCGAGATAGAATTCGTGCGGCCGTAGATTGGCTAGCCTGGCCATAATCTTCTGGAGTCCTCGGCTCCTTGACGAGATCCTGCCGGCTTAGTGTCCTTTGGCTTCGGTCGAACCCGGTTAACCGATTACGAGCCACGAGGGACGATCTAATCGAATGATCTCCCGAGGAGCCGCTTCGATCTCTCCCGCGGGAACCTTGACACGATCCGCACACACGGGCCGATCAATTCGATCTCGAAAGCCCAATTCGATTCCGATCGGTCCACGTTATTCGATTTATATCCGCCGAAAATTAAATCCTCTCTCCCAGATACGTCGCATTAATATGCTGGATTATGGGGAGCTGCTCCCGAGGGTGTATGTCTGTCATTTCGATATCCGTTACTGGAACTTAAGAAAATTATTATTAACTACCTGTATCGCAAATTTTCTTTTCAAGCCTTTCGTGAAATTTTATAGAAAAATGACTATTCTTATGTCTTAAATTGATAACATGTATGTTATAAATGTTTTTTGGAATTGTTATGAAATTTCAATATTTTTCCTCATTAACGGTGTACCAGTTGCTCACGAGATTTCATTTAGCAAAAGTATTGTAAGGCGTGAATTCTTCGTTTCAGATCGGAGAAAGAAGAAGATTAAGGGAAATCTGTGCACCCTGTGAGTTATCGAGACCCCATGCGACATGTTCTTGTGTTATAACCCCAAGGAATGCCTTATCAAGAGCACGATGAAGAGATAGCCACCCCGACCGTCGGATTCTAAGTTGCCCAATCTGGCGGCGTCACCATTGTTTGATGCCTCACCGTCGACTTCCCAATCGATATCGATCTATCGATGACATAGATTGCCCGTTCGGTGAGGTACCCCAGGTATGTGTCGGTGTATACGGCCATTAACAAGATCCGATCTTTATTTCTTTTCCGTCTCCTCGATCAAGGACTCTTCATGCCGCGCCGCCATTTTGGTACCACCGGAGTCAACGTTTCAAATGAGACAAATGGTATATAATAATTACATTAGACAGCCGATACATCGTACGTCTTCTCTTATATGAAAATGTAACGTCAATAGCCTATTTTGGGGTACTTGGTGATCATGAGATAAACTCTAATATATCAATACGTTTCCTCGGTACCATTGGGAAGGAAGGTTGCAATTATTGTCACTTAAAAATCGATCGTTCAACTTTCGGTTATCATAAAATAGGGATTTGGAGGAAGCATCTTATCGAGTCGGTTCGGTTGAGGAAATGAATAATTTACCTTCTCTTTGGTAGCGTTGATGGCCTCGAGAGCTTTGAGCTTTTCGACGTCATCGTCGACCTCCTTCTCCGAGGAAGATGCGAGCTTTTTGGCAGACGTTGGCGAAGGGGCCGAAGGATCCACCAATGTGAACCCAAGGTCCACGTCTTGCTTCCAAAGGACCTCGATCAGATCCATGTCCTGGACAAAAAAGAGCCATCCCGTATTAATAAAGAATTCCGTGCCCTGAAACCGATTTGCGTGGAAAACCTTGATAGTTATCCCTAAGCATTCCATAAGTTAATATTTAATCAAGGAACTCATAGTGTCGAATGATTCGCCGTCAAGATGGCGAACTTCCTAGATTGACGAGGAAAATCCGTAGATTGGTTAACGAGGTCGGCCTGAAACTCGGCGAAATTGGCTCGATTAAAGGTACGCACGGGACCAGCTGGCCACCAATTGTGCGTCGTCACGTGATTGGTTCTTGCTCTTCCCGCCGCCCCGTCCCGTTCCTTCTTTCCTCTCCTTTCTATTTCGAGATGTATCGATACAAGCCGGCCATTAATCACATGTCCTCCTTGTACTTATACTCGAAGGAACTCCACTCGGGATGCGGCAATAATGCGTCCCGAGGTACAAAAAACCTTCCCCCCAACCCTCCGACGCAACAATGGTCGCTGTCAATTTTTTTCCGATTTCAAATAAATTGCTCTAGAAATTACTCCGGATTTTGGGACCGAATTCGGGGCGATGCGAGAATGTAGCCGTAAGTCCTCGCGACGACTAACCAAACATTTTCTGTACTTCCTTTCCGTTCTTCTAAGTCATTTCAAATCGAGAATTCTTTTCCTAGCTCGATGAAATCGCCGATTTCGCTTAATGGGACAGTTTTAATCGGGGTTGCGCGTTGTACGAGGTACTGTGAAATGTATAATTCCGCGGTACGAGTTGCGTGGGTGTCACGTGACGGCGGCCATGTTGGATGCGCAGCGGGAGGTGCGCCGCGCCCACGCCGGTGCCCGTTGGTTGTGTCGTGGTCTGCCCACGTGGTCGGGGCCTTGTCCGTACTTGGAATGACAACTTGTCTACCGAAATTTCTCTCGTTTTTTATTTTCTACTAACCGTCCCTTGCGCCGTTTATATTTAGCTTGAATTTCCATTTCTTTTTCAGAATATGACAGCATATTCTTTCAGAAGATAGCAGAAAATTCTTTACGCACGATTACAGTATCCTTAGAACTCAAGGAAAATCACATTTTCCGCCGAGTTCCCAGATCTTCCTTAAAAATTAATTTTCTTGTTCTAAACACGAGACGAAAACAATTGCACTAGGAAAATATCATTGATACGACAATGTTAATAAGAAATACGTCGAATTAATAAAAAACAAAGTTCTACTCAACGGAGGCATCGATTCCCCCTTCGGTCCCGAAGAAAAAGTTTCGAGTGAGACCGATAGAATTCGTTCCTCGGGGTCGATGCACTCTCGATTGCAATTACCATTGGCTTCTTTCGCGACGCCGAGGAGGACATTGTTGGGCAACCGAGCCGATTCGCCGCCGTTTAGTCAACTCGAGGTTAGGCGAGTTAGAGGGTTTACGTCAGTGCCGTTCCGAAGTTACGTGTCTCCAGACTTTCCCTCGGGATTTTCAGCCGGGCCGAAACTCGCCGAGCGAGACCGATTTCGAGTGCATCTTCGAATTGCACGTCGGGTTCGATGCACTTCTCGTTCCCATGGACCTCCGATGTCGGCCCGAGACGTGACATAATATTCTTATCCCCGCTCCCCGCGATTACTCAAGACCCTTTTTTACCCGTCCAAGTACTCCAGCGTGTAATTAAATGAGAGTTTATTGGACACCTTGGGGGGAAAAAAAAAAAGTCGGATATGCCGACTAAACGCCGACATTTATGAGACACTATTTTCCTACGAAATTCCCGATTTTTTTTTTTTTTCATGATTCTCAGGTAACACGGCATAATTTAAATTACGAACGTGGATGAATATATGAGGAAATATAATGGAAAATGTCGGCGAGTTGGGAGGACTTCGTAGGTCAGTCGCTGATCTTGTTAAGGCATAAAGTAATGAACTCCACCCTGGGACATTTTCCGTGGATCTTTGGGTGGCGCCGGGCTAAATGATCGTGGGATTTGTGGTGGTTTCATGGTGGAGAACTTGTCTCGAAGGACCAATAACCCATTGTCAGTGTCCGGTACCTACCGTTAGGTTTAACCAGCCATTGTCCCTAATGTTCACGCCTAACCCTTTTGTCCCCTGACCGAGGGTCAGCGAGGTTCAATCACTTGTACCCACTCTTAAACGACAGGTACCCGAAAATTTGGGAAGCTTGCTCGCAATGTAAATCAAAAATAAAAAAAAATATATCTCCCAGGAGAGTCCTTATCGTCCTTATCGTGGCACCCATTTCGATGGATTTCCTTTGGCTCGAGGTGGGCGGGTGCACGAACCTTAAGCCCGTTTACGGGATGGTCGATATTAGAAATCGTATCGAATGGTAGAACCCCCACGGCTGCGATACTCCGATAAGAGCATTATTACCACCGACCATGTCCCTCTTCGGTCTTGGATCTTCCGAGCGCAGCTTCGCCTCGCCATGGACCCCTTCTTCTGAGAAAGGGTTACTCTCGTTCGAAAATGATACCATCCTTCCTTTCAAACTGTAGTACCGAATTCAAATGAGACGTGAAATTGATAATTTTACCACAATCTCGCGTACCAAAAGGTGTATGAATTTATGGATAATTTTTAATAGCGCAACCGAGGAAGGTCAGGACTCGGCGATAAAATGTTCGCAAGTGTTGCAGAAACTTTCGGAGGACATCTCCCTTCTTCTCGTCGAGTCCGTCACGCCGGCCAGGAAGAGACGAGAGTGGCGAATCGCTCGTAAAGTAATGACCCTTTCCCGAAAAGAAAGGAGGAGAAACCGCGTCGGCCACGACTCCCGAGGGAAGATGGTCGGGAGTGCCATAAATTACTGGGCATTCACTCGAGGAGCAAGGAGTACTCCTAGGACACTTTGCGGTGAGTCTCGGAGACTCGCCGACCGCTAATGGGTCCCATGGGGGTTCCCGAGGGATACGCCCCGGGTCTTTCGATGCCGAAGGGGCCCAAGAAGGACCTATGCCTCTGGTCCTCCAGACAGGGCCTCGCAAGACCGCGAGATCTGCCATGACACCTGTCACGGTGATCAGCTGATCGGCCGCCATCATCAAAGCGAGATTTATGACATAACGCGTAGGGGATGGTTGCCTACATTGGATCATTTATTTAAAAATGTGTCCTTCATTTTTAAGATTATTCATTCTGAAATTCACTACGGGATGAGATGTTCTAAAAACGTCGCCTCAAAATATGCTTCAAAAAGTATCACTTAATTTTCAACAAAGGGAAGAGGGATTAATCCTTGAGTGCAGCGGCAACTTCAATTGCATGCAAAAATCTGGGCAAATTTCCACCGACTTTTATCAGGGTAAGTATATGTGTCGGTCCAGGGGACTTTGGCACGGCAACGTCTATTAACCGTAGCACTCGAAAATATTAAAAGACGGCTAATAACGGTAAGTTATGATACGCGTAAACCATAAGACTGCGGTGTACCTCGCAGTAATTCTATCGTACGACTCATTACGTTCCACCCGGCTGTTATTAATGTGGGAGCGAAAACATTTATGGTAAAACAGTGAACCATAATAATACGGTTAGCGCGGCTCTTCCTCTTACTTCCGCTTCGAGTGCCGCAAATTGTATCTTTACGAATAGCAGAGTACCTGCGATTCTACGAACGTAATTAACGCCTTGCTTCGCCCAACTATGTGCGTAAAACATTAACGCACTCGTTAAATCATTTTCACGGAAAATTGCCGGATCGGTCCTCTCCCTCTCTCCTTCTCTCTCGCCGCTTCCAGTTTTCCCCAACTCGGGAGAAATTGAAAAAGCACTCGGTGTAATTTTTCCCTGACATTGCATGACATCGTTAATACTTCTCGATGATCCGACTCACCGCATGCTTCGCCAAATTATCCGCGAAAAATATTAATACACTCGTTAAATGATTTTTAGGGGGGAAAAAAAAATTCCTCTCGAGTTAAGAGAAATGGGAAAGCTCCCGACGTAACTTGGAAAATGTCGTTGATGATATATTTCGCGACGCGACTTACATCTCGTTTAGTTCAATTACGTGGGAAAAGCAGTAACGAAATAGTTAACACCGTTCCGTGGGGAAAATTGCTGGATAAATGGTGCTTTTCTCTCCGCCACTTATCCGCGACTCGCCCCTTACGCCATAAGGAAGAAAAATGATTAACAAATGCAAAGGAAAAGTAACGAAACGGCGTAGAGAAGTGACGTAAAAGAGAGGAGGAGAGGACGTTTCGGTAAAGGATGAAAGTTCGGCCCTCCGTTCGGGAGTCGAGGAGGCTTAGGAGCATAAAGCATTAATTTCCTGGTTTTAATTAGTGCGTCGTGCACGCAGCCGCTCCATAATGGCGGCTCCACGGGTCGCGAGGTTGGACGAGAAGGCGGCCGAAGGAGGAAGGAAAAGAGGGTACGAGGGGGGAGTTTGATTAATGATCCCGCGGGATCCCCGGGATCCTCCGGGGAGGGAAGCGTATCCTAGGGGTTGCCTGCCGAGTCGAGAACCACCGATCCATCCTTGCTCGGCCAACCGATTCCCCCTCGACATCCGGACGATCTTAAAAAACATTCTCGAATTAATCCAATCGATGGGGACTCGAGTACTTGGAAACAAATTGCGAAATCTACCACGATAGCTGTTCGAGATGATCCAGTTAATTGATCACTCCCCACATTGAGGATCTTCGAAAATGGCGCCGAATTATTCAAATTAATATGGCCTCCAGGGTCGGAAAATAAATACATAAGTGATGGGAAATCTCCGTACTTCGACGCTGTTGATGAATTAATTATTTTTAATTTCCTCCCCCCAATGACGTTTAGAATCATTGGAAGCAGGACCGAATGACTGGAATCAATGGACTGGGTTCTTGAAAATAAATGTACCTACACAACGCGTAATTCTAAGGGTGCAGATTATACCCGAGGGCAAAGCAACCCCCGCGATGCAATCTGGGGGAATTGCTTCTGGGGTGAACGCTCCTCGAGGCGGCGTTCCTTTGTACTCGCATCAAAGTGCTCACGTCTGTCTCTTTCACCC